ATAAATCAAACACTTGGAAAAATGTGAAATTAGAACATTTATTTGCATAATAACCATGCCATGAGTTATTAAGTTGAAATTGTTCTAATTGGTTTCAGTTGAGTGTTATTTAGACAATGAAATTTTGAACAAGTATTTCCAACCAACCATGCTTAAGCTCAACCTATCGCCAAAATAAACGTCTTTCCCTTGACTTTCAGTGACCGAGTAGTACTCTACGTTATCAACAACAAAAACACTGGGCTTTCGCAACATATACTCGTACAGAGACTCGCACAACACTCTTCAAATGTTACATTATAATCCTAAATGAAAATCCATTTCAAAATCAATTAAGCAGACTTTCAGGTCAAAGCTACATACATAAATCGGGCAAAAGCAAAGCCGAGCAAAGCTACCCATTGAAGACAACTAAAGCCTCACTCGGCTCGAACGACTGATTAACACTCAAAGTCAATGAAGCGTGGCTAAGACAGACACAAAGCGGCCAACAAGAAAGTTTAACAAATCTAAAAAGAAAAGGAAAACTTTGTTTCCGCCTTCAGATGTTTTAGGCCTCAGCACTTGTAATTATTTATTCGGGTTTCTGTTAGACAGCGAGAGGAGAATGGGATTAGTGCACGGGTCTCTAGGCCATTGGTAAATCTTTTTTTTTTTTTAAAGAAAACGCCGAAAACGAATTGAAAGTAAGCAACGGCACTGCCTTTCCCTTAAAAATTTCTGGTACTTGATACTTTGCACTCCGAAAATAATTATTTGAGTTTCAACGAGCATTCCCGAGAATGTAAAAACAAGAATGTAGACAGATTGATGTTCGACTCAACTCTCGCTGTTTTTGGTATTTTAGGGGTCCAATAGGAAATACTCAACGGCAGTCCTCTGATTTCTATTGCAAACCACTTCTCTCAGTCTTATCCTATTAGTTTTTCTTGTTGCTTTGTTCTCCGTTTCTCCTCCGATTCCTTGAATGCTATTCGCTTGCTTACGTTTTTGGTTTCTCTAGCATTTTTCTTCATTTGTCGAGGAGAGGACGTTATTGGTCACATTTAAATCTATATTGATGGTTCTTTGGTTTGGCAACAGTTTGCATTAATTTTCAACGATTTGCGAAGCTGTTAACCTTCATCTTTGCCCATCCCTGACATGGCACTGTGCCACACTGTCCTCCCTCTGCGGTGGCATGTATTCGCCCTGGCCCTTCCTGCTGTCGCTGCTTCTGATGCATATAAATAATGATTTCTTTGCCATGTGAATGGCAAATCTATCCAAATCCCTTGTGCATTCTGACGGCATTAGAGGGTTGCACATGTGTCTCCTTCTTTACTGTTGTGTGGGTGTATTCTCCATCACTCTTTCATGGTACAAACTGGCATTTTCTTAGAGTAAAGAGGGGTAAAGAACCCAAAGGCAGGAGCGAAAAGACAAATTTGAAAACTTGCAAAGTGTACATATAATAATTGTTTTATTTTATAGCTGAGAATGAACAATTACTACTCATTCCAATGGATAGACATCAATAGCCGAGTGGATATAGCCCAGTCTGTCTTTCCGTCCTTATGAGCTTCTAGTACTCAGAGACCATAGGAGGTCGGGCAACCAAGTTTTGCATTGAGACTTATGTATGCTCACACTGTTACAAGTGTATTTCAAAATATCTCCCGCCCGCTTCCAAGCTTTTGGAAGAGGTGGGGGAAGCCTCTACAAATGAATTTCTTAATTCTGGCTATTCTGTTTTCTGAAAGATTGTCATTCTCTACGTAAATGCGTATAGAGAAGCTTATTGTTGTCAATCTTTCTCGCTCGCAAATCTGCCTCAGTGGCGAACTAAAAGGGCGTGTTGGTGTGAGAAGTGATGTAGATAACATATGTAGAAAACAGATGTATAAAAAATGTCAAATGTAAAATGTAAAGAATCGAAAAAATCATAATGTAACATCTGACATACATGTGTATGTGTATATTTATCACACCAAGGTTACATATATCCATACATATGAATACATGTGCATACATAAATACATATTTACATATTTACATATGTACAGATGTATTCAAGTATATAATGACTGAGTGCCGGGTATACAAGTTGTGACGCGTACGAAGCGTGTCACAAACGTCCGTACTCGTTATTTAGGATTTTTTTCATCCTCATCTCAAACATTTTCTTTCACTTCTTATCAGTTTCATTTTTCCTCTTTCTTATTTTCGGAACGAACAAAGGAGTCGCCTATTCTTTCTTTTTATCCCTTTTCGTCTTTTTCTTGTTTATATTTATTGCATAACCATTGTCAAAAATCGGTTGCATTGTGTGTCGCTATAATGCAAGGACGTGTCCCAACCCAACCCCTACCAAAACCCCTTTTTCCTTTATTCATATTTTGCTCATATTTCTTTGGTGCATGCAACTCGTCAAGAATTTCATCTTGGCTCCCGTTTCCCCCTTCGGGTGTTAATATCAGCTCGAATTTAATAAGAAATATGCACGATATGGGATGGAGAAATGCATATTTCGTCGGAGCTTCCATTATCCATTATCGGCAACATATTGCTCGCTGCCCCGATACTTGAGCTCCCATTGCAATCGTCTTATGTATGTACATACATATTCTCCCCCTCTTATCCTCCGTTCTTATACCCGGTACTCGAAGAGTAAATGGGGTATATTGTATTTGTGCACAAAGTGGATGTATGTAACGCACAGAAGGAAACGTTTCCGACCCCATAAAGTATATATATATATTTTTAATCAGCATCAATAGCCGAGTCGATAGAGCCATATCTGTCTGTCCGTCTTGTTTGTCGGACAGTAGTTCTCAGAGACTATATGAGCTAGAGCCACCAAGTTTTGCCTCCAGACTGATGTATGCTTACCGTGAAACCAGTGTATTTAAAGAATTAGCCCCCTTCCGCCCCGCAAAAGGGCGAAAATCTCCCAATCTCACATTTTTGAAGATAAAAGAAAACTAACGCCATCCTGTAGGAAATGACCATATCTATCAGATCACCGAATTGGGATCCGATTGGATGATTATTATAGCCAGAATGAAGAAATTAATTTTCAGTGGCCAAAACCCAAAACCCCCTCCCGCAGCTTATATTTTTTTTTTGCACATTCTCTCATTCCCACTCTGCTTCTGCCGTGTGCGGCCTCTGCCTCTGCCGTGGCTCTGCAACTTACAATATACCCTATTTACTCTTCGAGTAGCGTTTTTAACAACAAATTCCAGTTTAACCGTTCTAGGACTCATATCTGAAATTATATTCGCCAATTCTAATTGTAAATTTTTGTAATAGGGATAGATTTTCCAGCTTTTATTTCGGTCCTATGGATATGCAAATAAATACAAATACAATGAAGGATATCCAATATCCAAATTTCCATGAAATGTGATTATACTAAAGTTTAAAAGGTTTCGACCTTCAGTCAAATTTTTCACTATAATGACATACCAACTACTTTGGTGCGCATATCTGATCTGATACCGACCTCAGTTGCGGGCTTTTCCTGCTGTTGCAGTTCCTGTTGCTGTTGTTTTATCAACTTTTTTTCCCAGTACTGTCTTTTTCACTTTGATGCAATTTTGTTGTAGCATACTTGCAGGCAGCGCACTTAAAAGACACGCACACACATCCACAAACAGAGTGAGAGAGAAGGAGCAACGATAAAGTTGTGCTTTATGCTCCGTCTCTATCCATATGTATGTATGTACATACGTACTTCTCCACCTCGCTCTCACCACTCTCTATAGCCTGGTAAAGCAAGAGACAAAAGCGACGCGAAAACGCCTGCATGATATGTGGTGTGGAGAGAGCGATAAAAAGCGGAAGTGCAGATTGCTCAAGCATTGACTAAAGTGTGTAAATGTCAATTTGTTTTGTGGACAACAGTTGAAGGGGGATTGCGGGGTGAGAGGCCTGAAGCAAAGACAATATACAATTTTAGCTCAGGCCTCTCTGCATTGATTTTGATGAGCAATACCTTAAACGAAGCGGAATGAATGCACATACATACATGTATGTCCATATGTACATACAAAAATAAACAACCCAGAATATAATTTTTACGACTGTTCCCGAGTTTTTAAAATCCACATTTTTGTATTTCACAGCTTAATATTTCCCAGACAGGAAACTAAACCCACAAAATGTTTGTGGCTCTACATTTGTAGAGCGCCTGGACGCAGCGCTAGAGCTAGAAGCTATATATGTGTGTACATATAGAGAGCCCTAAGATGGAGAGAGCAACAGCATCAGCAACTGCAACATCGCATATTGATTTTTAATTTGGAAAGCGCACGAAGAAAGCTTTCACTTCCCCTTCTCCATCTGGGCGCCTCCTCTTTGTTGCTGCCTGCCAGATAAAAAGCCAAAGGCAAGAGAAAGAAATGACATGGACGGTACAGTGAGCAAAGCGGCTCCACGAATCATGAAACTCTATGATTTTTCCTGCAAATAAATGGTATCCTCTATGGTCAGCAGCGACAGTAACCACAGGAAATGTCAGAGGGCGCGGAGCCGCCGACGATGGTTTGAGACCCACTGAGGGGGCGGCCAGAAGCCAGAAGCAGCAAAAGCTTAACAGCAATTTTGTGGCTAATAAATCCGATTTCCGTTTTGTTTCGAAATAAATTGCATGCAACGGGAAGGGTAGGAGGTTGAACGCAGGATGCGGCTGGCGCACTGACAGACGGAAATGGCTACCATAGGACGCAACAAACAAGGATCCACGTAACAGAACCATCCGCCGGAAGTGCAAAATTAGCCTGTTTCTGTTGCCCTCACCCACTCATACATACACACACTCTCCGTCGCTGTCTCTCTCTCTCTCTCTCTCTCTCTCTCTCGCTGCCTCTGTGTGTGTGTCCAAGTCCAGATCCCCACACACATGACCCAATTTTTGGTTGCAATCACAATGAGAATGTCACTCGGGGGAAAATCCTACTATATCCACAAACATCCTTCAGCCCCAGGACTCAAGGACTCGCATCGACTTCACTCACCTGAACATCAAAATTTTGCTGCTGCAACAGATTGCCGGGAGATTCCATGTGATTGGGTCCAGCTCCTTGATGGTTCATTATGGGCGACTATGGAAATAAAATAAAATAATAAGAATAATTTCGATTGGGTTTGAATTGGAAGTTTTACTTATATTTGAATCGATATTATTAGATTATATTTAAAATAATTAATATTGTGTTTTCTTTTACGATTCTGTACATGAAAATTAAGACAAATACAAATATTTCATTGAGTTTTTACAGTGAGGCCGAAGTAATATATAAAACTCAATGAATTTAAGATGGCAGTTTGATTGGGATTTATAATTGGGATTTTACAGCGTATTTTTTGGGGACCTAACTAATATCATAAATTGAGGTTCTGTGTACACAACACAGCTCTGCTTGCATAATAATATTTGTATGTAATATGTTTCTATGCATGTAGCCGACGGGTAAAATCTTAATTCGCTTTAAAATCACTTACAGTAATAGCACCCATATAACATGGTGCGTCCCAAACTGTAGGGCTTACCTGTGCCGCCATCGGCATTCCACCACCCACTCCGTTCATCATTGTCGGCTGCAACTGGTTCATTTGTGATGCCATCTGCTGGTGGGTCGCATATCCCCCACCACCTCCACCGCCGCCCACGCCATTGCCATGGATGCGGCACTCCCCCATTCCGGATCCGCCGCCCAGTCCACCGCCCACGCCCATGCCCTGTCCGTGGTCCATGAGCATGTGGTTGAAGGGTGGCGGCAATTGGGGGAATCCACCGTGCTGTGAGTGGTCGAGTAGATTTGGGGGACGTGGCAGGGTCTCTTCAGCGGGCGAGGGCTGCCGCGAGCCGGGAGTGCGACTGCAAGTATAAAGAGAGAAATATAAAGAGAGAGAGAGAGAGAGAGAGAGAGAGAGAGAGAGAGAAGAAAGAATGAATTATCACAATTTAAGTTTTAATTTATTTATAATTTCATTTGTTAAAAGTATGTTAAATAACAGAAGATAACATACAGTTTACATAAATGACTCTGGAAACAGCTTAACAGTTTTTACAGTTTATGACTAGTCCAGATGAACAGTTGCAGAATGATTAAATTGTATAACAATGTTTTGGGAACTGTTAACCTTATCTTCATTATAATTAACATTTCCAGCAATTCCTACAATATTGAGGATACACTATACTCCTCAAAATATAGTGTTTATAAAAAACAGTTGACAAATTATGAAATAGTCCCTCTTAAAGTAAAATTCGGAATGACTGACGGCTTTTAAGAATATAATCTAATGCTATTTAAGAGACAAAAGCATGATTTTACTGCAACATTTTTCCAGTAACACTTTAGCTCAACAATTTTTCCAATGCAATTTTAGCTCAAACATCACCAGATTATTTAACATTTCACAGTTTTACATCAATCAACAGTTGGACATTCACTGCTACGACCGCTTAGTCACGACACACACCGCAGCCAAGACCCACTACCACGTGAACTAAAACAAGGTTGTCACAATTACCCTAAAACTGTACTAAAAAATGCAATCTACAAAATCTTTAAACACTTCCTATGAATAAACGAATATCGATATACACTATTTATTAAATTTTGAATGCGATTATAGGCAACACAATTATCATTAATTATCTCTTGTAAACGACAATGTTACGTGTGCGAAACAATAAGAAAGAACAAAAGACCCAAGCGACAAACTTGTTTCGAGTCAAATGCCTGCCCATTACGTCAACTCAAAGCTGTGGCCCAAAGTCCATAAATAACACTCGAAATCGGCATGAAGACAGCAGCGGCGCTTAAATGCAAAATAAAATCTAAACAATAAACGGGTAAAAAGCAACAACAAAAACGCTGAGCAGCAGATGTTTTCCAGACCGTTTCGCTGCATACCGATTAATTAATGCACTCCAAAGCACTCAGATTTGCATAGCAGCTTCTTTACATATCAGTGAGCCAGCCATTCATTCGCGCTTAACCCAATGCACTTAACCCCACTCAATGCAAACAAAGTCAATGACTTGCAACTGTTTTATTTTTTGTTCTACATAAACATAGGATACCCTTTCTAAAATTAGTATGAACAGAGAAGAAGCCTCCTTCGAATGAAGAAATGTATTTGCTTTTTTCCGGACAAAAAGACGATTTTTTAAACAAATTGCGTGGTTTCTTTATGGGGAAAATGAGAAATTTTCCTGCAGTCCGTATACGTGGGATGAACACGAACACCATCAATTTGAATACCCTGCTACTAGTAACTGGAACTGCGGAAAATCTCAATCTCTAAAGAATGTTCAATTTGCAGTTTCCTTAGAATTGAGAAACATGAGAGGGTATCAAAAGCAACGACCCCTTAAGCGAGCATTTTTTCTTTCTTTGCCATATCTAATGGCCGTTTAGCTGTATCCCACTCTGCCGTCTCTCTGCCGTTCGCTGTGTCTCTCTGACCCAGCTCGATTGCATGGAGGAATTGCCATCTATAATTTCATTGTCGGGTCATTCACAACATCGCATTTAACAAATGTAATACAACAACAACAGCAGAACCGAACCGAAATGATTAGAAATGCTAACCAGTGCTGCTAAAACTACTGCACTGGGAGAAAGGCTAGTGCTTGAGTAATTTTAATGGGTGTGATTAATTGGGGAGTCTGTGGTGCCAAATTATAACCATTAACTGAAAGTAACTGTCGAACAGAAACTCATGGCAGAATCCACAAACTATCGACCATCAATAAAATGTAATAACCATCAAGAGTACACAGACATTTGTTACTTAAGCAACAGAAATTAATGCATAATGAATATATTGAGATTAATATTAATTAGTAAACTAAAACGGCGTACGTGTAAAATGCTGCCAATTTTTTATACCCGGTACTCGAAGAGTAAATAGGGTATATTGTATTTGTGCTGGAAGTATATATATTCTTGATCAGCATCAATTTAGCCATGTCTGTCTGTCCGTCCGACTGTCTGTCCGTCCGACTGTCTGTCCGTCCT